GGCGCGCGGCGCAGCGCGCGCCCCGGCACGGCGGCGCTTCGCGGCCGCCCCCCGCGCCCAGCAGGGACAGGCAGAGGCCGAGCCAGCAGCGCGCCCACCACACGCGTCTCGCCCGCATGTCCTGCAAGAGAAGAGAGCGGCGGCGGCGGCTCAGGGGACGGCTCCGTCCCGCACACCCCCCCGGCACGGGCTTTTTCTCCTCCGCGCCCGCCCCGGCGCAACCTACGCGCGAGTGCGGGGCGCCGGGCGGCTGCCCTGCCCGCTGCGGGGGACTGGCCGCCTCCCGGGGAATGTGCAACATTCCTGGGGCTTTCTCAGCATCAGATTTCCCAAGCGCCTCCCTTTAACTCCTTCACCCCCTCGCGGCCGCCGCGGCGGCGGGAGAGGCGCCGGCGCCGCGGGTTTTTCCGCACGGCGAGTTCTGGCCGAGGGGAGGGAGGACACGGCTGGAAGGTAGCCGGGGGGTCCATGAAAGAAAGGGAAAAAAAATACCCCCGAACAATRGAAATGAAGGACGTGAGCAGTTACAAACGAAGCACATTTTACGCGGCTACAAAAATAGTTACTGATAGTTTGGATTTCTTATTTCCCGCTTTGATCGCCTACATCGAAGATAAGCTGGGCCAAAAGCTGCCGTTTCATCCGAGGCTACCTGTAGCTGCAGAATTAAGCTGAAATGTGATTTCTTTCGTGTTTAGAGCAGCAATTTGGCTACAGTCGGCACATAGCGCTTTGCGGCAAAGCCGCTCTCCTGAGCCGGGCTCGCAGGGTAGGCGCGGAGCCACAAACCTCCCAAGTGCTTCCAAGCGTGCAGAGCTCCCCGCAGCAGGAGCCACCTCGCTTATCTAATCTCTTCCACATGTTACCCAAGAAAAGCGGTACAAAGTATGTGCCCACTTCACCTCGGCTGCAGCTGCCGCGGTCGGGCCGTGGGAAGCTGCCCAACACCTATACAATATAGAACAGTGTGGAAAATATGATTATGGGCAGAAGAACAATGACTGAATGTACAGTTTATTAAATCACTATCTTTAGCTTCCTTCCATCCACCGGCTCAGATGCCTGTAACTGCCCGGTGTGTCTGCAATGCCCCCACACGGTATCTTAGCTATTGGTTATACACAGAAGAAGAGAGCTCCTTGTTCTTTATTTTCTCTCTATGAATTTTATTTAAAACTACATGGGAATCCCTCTGTGGGTTTTTTGTTTGTTTTATTTGTTTGTTTGTTTTATTTTTTAATATAAGCTGAGTGATCAACTTTTTCCCCTGCTGCAGAAGTATATCATGTACTTCACAACTGTCTGGCCATTTCGTGACTAAGCAGTGTGTTTCTTCCRAAAATGCCAACTTGTCAAAACTGAAATGAGTTACATGGGTCGCAACAGCAACAAAGGCTCACAAGGCACAAAGAGGAGATGTTCCTGGGACACGTCTGCAGGGCTGGAGGCCACACAGGTTAACAGACTCCTGCCTGGGAGAGGGGAGCTGGAAGCCCTGGAAGACCAAGTCCTACCTGAAGCTCCCCAAAAGTTTAAGACCCTGTCCTCACCACAACCAGATGAGACCTTCAATTGTAGTAAAACTCCTGGATCTGCTACTATTGAGAGGGCAATTTTCCTGGATTTTCCTGCAGTTTCCAATATCCCTGCCAGAAAGGGATGGGGAAAGAGGAGGGATAAACTTCACAGATGTGTCTCTACAGGGGATCCTAATAGGTAGAGTGTCCTGAGAAGAGACTTCTCTTTATGRTTCTCCAAACTGCTTCATTCTGAGAAGCAGGTTTCTCTGAGTGCTGAGCAACCCACAAACAAGGTACCCCCAAGCCGGTCCTGGACTCTGCGGGAATGCCTGGAGCAGAGCTGCCTCGGAAGCCATSAGGAGCAGAGCTATGAGGTTATTAAGGAAAGAAAGATCTTTTTAAAAGACCACTATCACAAATGACATTGGTACTATAGCCCCTTTGAGGATGGAATATGAGCCAATTGACCTCACACGGTCTCTTCGTGACTGATTTTCTGCCACTGTAGCATACATTTATTGACTCTTTCATCCCATGGGAATGCCAGGGAATGTCAACTTTTCAGGGACAAACTGGAAAGCAGCTCCCAATGAACACTGAAATTTCAACAATTTTTGTTCTAAGTTATCATGAGAAAGGAACTGGTATGGTTAAAATATAGCCATGCAGGATTCAAGTAGTTCTGCACCTGATCCTGGCCCTGCTTCACCGTTTATATGAAAGGCAACAGGACTGAGTGGAAATCTGCCCAGGCAGGGCAGTCACATAGGGGTGATTAGTTCTGCATTCAGAAGCCTACAGAAGCCAGTGTTATTCTTCAAAGCCAAATATGACTAAAAAAAAAAAAAAAAGACACAAAATTGGTCATCGCAGATATGAAAGAGCTGGTTTCTGTTTGGATATACTTACACTGGAAAAAAAAAAAAAAGGATTTAACTGCAGATTACCTGAACTAGCTTGAAATGGAGCTATCTGTCTACACCAGTGCAGAYTTCAATATAGACCACCCAGCCAGGCACTCACCCGGCTTTGCAAACCATGCTGTTTTATTGTGGTCATACTTAGCATGCCTGGAGGGAATCCATGCTCTGGACCCGGATACTGGATCTCCTGGATACTAGCATCAGCCCAGCTGTGGTAGCATGGAGCTCTGCATGCACAAATTTAGCTTGTGAATGAAAACCTCTGATTTTTCTTAGGTTCCTTGTTAGGTTTTGCAGTGAATCCATTGCTCCCACAGCTGTATTATCTTTGGAACCGATGCCAGTGAGTATAAAGCTACCTAAGATGAAAACTCATCTTTGGATCATCTTCAGAAATGACCTAGAAAAGCTATAAAGTTGGGAATGATTCCCAAAATAACTATGCCTGCAGGTTAACAATTCATGAAAMAACGTGAGCTACATAATATTCTCAGCCATAGCATAAATCCAGAGCAAAATTACTAAAATTACTCCACTAAAATTACTATAGCTAAGTAAAACCATTGTAAAACCATGATATCCTGCTGATGTCTGGTATATGGTATACAAACCATATGACACGTCTGTAGGTATTGCATGTACCTGTACATAGCTGCCATAATGAGGCAGCACATAAGACCCAGCAAAGCTAACAAAGATACAGACTTTGTCTGTGACTGAGTCAGTGACATGGATGCCCAACACCATGAACTGGTGTCTACCGTCCTCCTGGTTTCCTTCCCTGCAAGGACACTGCRTAAGCAGGAAGACCCAGAGCTTCAYGTGTTTGCCCAATGGTTTGTGCAGTGCGTTTTTCACCTTGTCACACATCACGGTGTTYGCTAGAACAACAGCAGTGGATCAGGTGAAAGAAGTAGGTTAAGAGATCCCTGCT